CTTTTTTGGGGGGAATTTTTTTGGGATTTTTTGGGATTTCTTTGGATTTTGGGAGAATTTTTTGGGGATTTTTTTTTTGGGATTTCTTTGGATTTTGGGGGAATTTTTGGGGATTTTTTGAGATTTTTTTTTTTAATTTTGGGGGAATTTTTGGGGGATTTTTTATTTAATTTTGGGGGAATTTTATGGGGATTTTTTGGGGGATTTCTTTGGATTTTGGGGGAAAATTTTTGGGAATTTTTTTGGGGGAATTTTTTGGGATTTTGGGGGAATTTTTGGGGATTTTTTTGGGATTTTTTTGGGATTTTTTTTTTTAATTTTGGGGGAATTTTTTGACTTTTTTGGGGGGAATTTTTTGACTTTTTTTGGGAATTTTTTGACTTTTTTTGGGAATTTTTTGACTTTTTTTGGGAATTTTTTTGGGTTTTGGGGGAATTTTTTTTGGATTTTTTATTTAATTTTGGGGGGATTTTTTGGGGATTTTTTGGGATTTCTTTGGATTTTGGGGGAATTTTTTGGGATTTTTTTTTTGGGATTTCCTTGGATTTTGGGGGAATTTTTTGGAATTTTTTGGGGATTTTTTATTTAATTTTGGGGGAATTTTTGGGGGATTTTTTGGGATTTCTTCGGATTTTGGGGGAAATTTTCGGGAATTTTTTGTGGGAATTTATTTGGATTTTGGAAGAATTTTTTGGGAATTTTTTGGGGGGAATTTTATTTTAATTTTGGTGGAATTTTTTGACTTTTTTTGGGAATTTTTTTTGGATTTTGAAGGAATTTTTTTTGGATTATTTCAAAATTTTTACCCCAATTTCACAACATTTGGTGTCAATTCTTTTTTATTCCATTTTTCATGGAATCCTTTTTAATGGGGGGAATTTTTTGGGATTTTTTGGGATTTTTTGGGAATTTTTTGGGATTTTTTGGGAATTTTTTGGGATCATTTCAGCCCAAAAATTCCTGGGAATTCCCAACTTTACCTGGGCAGCCTCTTCCAGCTCCTTCCGGAGCTTTTCCAGATCTTTCCGAAGCTTCTCCAGCTCCAGATCCCGACTGGAAACCTCCTGGAAAAAAAAACTGGATTTGGGGGAAAAATCCCAAATTTTGGGAAAAAATCCTGAATTTTGAGGATAAAAAAACCTGAATTTTGGGATAAAAAATCCCAAATTTTGGGGAAAAAAATCACAAATTTTAGGGAATAAAATCCCAAATTTTGGGGGTAAAAAAACCTGAATTTTGGGAAAAAAATCACAAATTTTGGGGAAAAAATCCCAAATTTTGGGGAAAAAAATCCCAAATTTTGGGGAAAAAAATCCCAAATTTTGGGGAAAAAATCCCAAATTTTGGGGGAAAAAATCCCGAATTTTGGGATAAAAAAATCCCAAATTTTGGGGAAAAAAATCCCGAATTTTGGGGAAAAAATCCCAAATTTTGGGGATAAAAAATCCCGAATTTTGGGGAAAAAATCCCAAATTTTGGGGGAAAAATCCCAAATTTTGGGGAAAAAATCACAAAAATAGGGAAAAAATCCCAAATTAATTTTGGGGAAAAAATCCCAAATTTTGGGGGAAAAATCCCAAATTTTGGGGAAAAAATCACAAAAATAGGGAAAAAATCCCAAATTTTGGGGATAAAACAATCCCAAATTTTGGGGATAAAAAATCCCAAATTTTGGGGATAAAAAATCCCAAATTTTGGGGATAAAAAATCCCAAATTTTGGGAAAAAAATCACAAATTTTAGGAAATAAAATCCTGAATTTTGTGGGGAAAAAAACCCCAAATTTTTGGGAAAAATATCCCGAATTTTATGGAACAAATTCTTGGATTTTGGGGAAAAAATCCTGGATTTTGGGGAAAAAAATCCCGAATTTTAGGGAATAAAATCCTGAATTTTGGGATAAAAATCCTGAATTTTGGGATAAAAATTCCTGGATTTTTGGGAATAAATTCCTGAATTTTTGGGATAAAAATCCTGAATTTTAAGGAAAAAAATCCCAAATTTTAAGGAAAAAATCCCGAATTTTAAGGAATAAAATCCTGAATTTTTGGGATAAAAATTCCTGAATTTTGGGGAATAAATTCCTGAATTTTTAGATAAAAATTCCTGGATTTTGGGGGAAAAAAATCACAAATTTTAAGGAATAAAATCCTGAATTTTGAGGAAAAAAATCCCGAATTTTAAGGAATAAAATCCTGAATTTTGGGGAAAAATCACGAATTTTAGGGCATAAAATCCTGAATTTTGTGGAAAAAAATCCCGGATTTTAAGGAATAAAATCCTGAATTTTAGGGAATAAAATCCTGAATTTTGAGATAAAAATTCCTGAATTTTAAGGAATAAAATCCTGAATTTTTGAGATAAAAATTCCTGGATTTTGGGATAAAAATTCCCGGATTTTGGGATAAAAATTCCCGGATTTCTCTGACCTTCCGGAGCTTTTCCAGCTCCTCGGGGTTGCTCCGATCCCGATCCTCCCGAGCCTGGAATCGCTCCTGGAGCTCCCGGAGCTCCTCCTCGAATTCCTCCCGTTCCAGCCTGGCCTGCAGCAACCTGGAAAATCCCAAAATTCCCCCAAATTCCCAAATTTCCAGCGTCCAAAAATATCCCAGGGTCGGTTCTGCTGGGATTTGGGGTGGAAAATGCCGGAAAATCCTGGAAAATTCCGCTTTTTTTTGGGATTGGGAGTGGGAAATTCACGAGTTTTTGGGGGTTTGGGGTGGAAAATCGCGGAAATTCCCAATTTTATTGGGATTCGGGGTGGAAAACACCACGGAATTCCCAATTTTTGGGGATTTAGGGAGGAAAATCCTGGGAAATTCCCAATTTTTGGGGATTTGGGGAGGAAAATCCCGGGAAATTCCCAATTTTTGGGGATTTGGGGAGGAAAACCCCAGAAAATTCCCAAATTTTTGGAGATTTGGGGTGGAAAATCCCGGAAAATCCCAATTTTATTGGGATTGGGAGTGGAAAACCCCAGAAAATTCCCAAATTTTTGGGATTTGACTTTGAAAACCCCCGGAAATTCCGGATTTTGGCCCCCCCGGGCTCCGGGACTCACTCCTGCTTGGAATTCCGGAGCTCTTCCTTGTTTTTCTGGAACATTTCCCGCCACTGCTCCGTCTCCTCCGAGCTCTCCTCCAGCTCCCGCCGCAAATTCCGGAGGAGAATTCCCAGATTTTCCCGTTCCTGCTCCAGGTTGGATTTTTCCTGNGCATTCCCGTTCCCAGCGCTCATTCCCGTTCCCGGCGCTCATTCCCGTTCCCGGCGCTCATTCCCGTTCCCGGCGCTCATTCCCGTTCCCGTCCCCATTCCCGTTCCCGGCGCTCATTCCCGTTCCCGGCGCTCATTCCCGCTTTTCCGCAGTTTCCTGGGATACGTGGACATGCTGGGCGTGGCCTACGAGGCTCCGTCCTTGGCCACCGGATTCGGGGCTTACCTGGCCCAGGTGAGTCCGAGCCCCTCCCTTCGTTAGTTCAGGGTTAATTAATCCTTAATTGATGAATTTTCATGTATTTATATATTTACACATTAATTAATTAATATATTTATTCATTCATTCATTTATTCATTTATTAATTCACTTGTTTATTCATTGATTTATTTATTTATTCACCTATTTATTTATTCATTAATTCATTCACTTATTCATTATTCATTCATTAATTCATTTATTTAGTTATTTATTCATTCATTTATTCATTTATTTATTCATTTTTTATTCATTCATTAATTCATTTATTTATTCATTTATCTATTCATTAATTTATTCATTTATTTATTCATTAGTTAATTTATTCATTTATTCATTTATTCATCCATTCATTTATTCATTCATTAATTCATTTATTTATTCATTAATTTATTCATTCACTTATTCATTTGTTCATTTATTTATTCATTCATTAATTCATTTATTTATTCATGTATTTATTCATTCATTCATTTATTCATTAATTCATTCAGATATTTATTAATTAATTAATTAATTAATTCATTTATTCATTTATTTATTTATTCATTTATCCATTAATTCATTCATTTATTTACTTATTCATTCATTCATTTATTTATATACTTTCATTTAATTAAACAAAATTAATTTCATTTCTTTTATTTCATTTACTCCATTGATTAATTCTCAATTGATTTAATTGATTTTATTTATTTGCTTTCATTCCATTTAATTACTTAATTGATTATTTTCAATTATTTACCTTTTTTTTACTTTGTCCTTGTTTCTGCTGGTGATTTTTTTAATTGTTTTTGTCTTAGTTAATGATTTTTTAATTAGTTTTAAAATTCTTTAATTCATTTTTTTAATAGTTAATTGTAAGATTTTTTTTTATTTTGATTCATCTTTTTAATTTGCAATTTTAAAATTAATTTTCTTGTTTGGCTCCTCGTGCTTTCAATTAATAATTTTTTAATTTTTTTTATGCTTTTTTCGTTCTTTTTATTTTTTTTATGCTTTTTTCGTTCTTTTTTTAATTAATATTTTTAGCTCGTTATTTTTTTAATCGATTATTATTTAAATTAATTAAAACTAAAGTTTCTTATTTTTTAACCCATCGTTTTTAATTTGATTCTTATCTTAATTCATTAATTTTGAATTGATGCTTTTTTTTTAATTCGGTATTTTTTAATTGATTCTTTTCGTTTTCAGTTCATTAATTTTTAATTGATTTATTGATTTCTCTGGGAGAAATTCCCTCTTTTTTCCCCTGAAAATTCCTCTTTTTCCCATGAAAATTCCTCTTTTTTCCAAGTGAAATTTTTCCTTTTTCTCCTGAAAATTCCTCTTTTTTTTCCCACAAAAATTCCTCTTTTTTCCCATGAAAATTCCTCCTTTTTCCCACAAAAATTCCTCCTTTTCCCATGAAAATTCCTTTTTTTTTCCCATGAAATTCCCTCCTTTTTCCCATGAAATTCCCTCATTTTTCCCCTGAAAATTCCTCTTTTTCCCACAAAAATTCCTCCTTTTTCCCATGAAAATTCCTTTTTTTTTCCCATGAAATTCCCTCCTTTTTCCCATGAAATTCCCTCCTTTTTCCCATGAAATTCCCTCATTTTTCCCCTGAAAATTCCTCTTTTTCCCATGAAAATTCCTCCTTTTTCCCACGAAAAGTCCTTTTTGGAAAATTTTTTCCCGTTATTTCCCCCCGTTATTTTCCCGTTATTTTCCTGGTTTTTTCCCGTTATTTTCCCGTTATTTTTCCCCTTTTTTCCCATTATTTCTCCCCGCTTTTTTCCCGTTATTTTCCCATTTTTTCCCATTATTTCCCCGTTTTTTTCCCATTTTTCCCCATTATTTACCTGTTTTTTCCCTGTTATTCCCCTGTTATTTTCCCATTATTTCCCTGGTTTTTTCCCCTTTTTTTCCTGCTATTTTCCCATTTTTTCCCATTATTTCTCCGTTTTTCCCCTTTTTTTCTCATTATTTCCCTGTTATTTTCCCCGTTATTTCCCCGTTATTTTCTCGTTATTTCCCACTTATTTTCCCCTTATTTTCCTGTTTTTTTCCCGTTATTTTCCCATTTTTTCCCATTATTTTCCCTTTTTTCCCATTATTTTCCCGTTATTTCCCTGGTTTTTTCCCATTTTTTTCCCGTTATTTTCCCGTTATTTCCCTGTTTTTTTCCCGTTATTTTCCCATTTTTCCCCCGTTATTTCCCCGTTATTTTCCCATTTTTTCCCGTTATTTTTCCCCGTTTTTTCCCTGATATTTTCCCATTTCTTTCCTGTTTCTTTCCCGTTATTTTTCCCGTTTCTTTCCGTTATTTTTCCCCTTTTTTTCCCGTGATTTCCCCGTTATTTCCCCGTTATTTCCCCGTTATTTCCCCTGTTATTTCCCCGTTATTTCCCCGTGATTTCCCCGTTATTTCCCCTGATTTTCCTGTTATTTCCCGGTTATTTCCCGTGATTTCCCCGTTATTTCCCTGTGATTTCCCCGTCATTTCCCCGTTATTTCCCCGTTATTTCCCCGTTATTTCCCCGTTATTTCCCCGTGATTTCCCCGTGATTTCCCCGTTATTTCCCGGTTATTTCCCCGTCATTTCCCCGTGATTTCCCCATTATTTCCCCCTGATTTCCCGGTTATTTCCCCTGATTTTCCCCTTCTTTTCCCGGAGCAGCCGTTGCTGCGGGCGGCGCTGGAGCGGGATCGGCTCCCGAGCCGGGAGGAGGCGCGGGAGCTGCTGGAGCGCTGCCTGCGCGTGCTCTACTACCGGGACGCTCGCTCCTTCAACAGGGTTTGTATCCCAAAATCATCCCAAATCCATCCCAAACCCATCCCAAAATCCATCCCAAAATCCCTGGGATCCATCCCAAACCCATCCCAAAATCCCTGGGATCCATCCCGATCCCGCAGCGCTGCCTGCGCGTGCTCTACTACCGGGACGCTCGCTCCTTCAACAGGGTTTGTATCCCAAAATC